GTGTGTGTGTGTGTGTGTGTGTAAGAGAGAAAGAATGTGTGAATGTGTGTGAGTGTGAATGTATGTGAGTGAATGTGTGTGAGTGTGAATGTGTATGTCTGAGTATGGATGTGCATGAGTGTGAATGTGAGTGAATGTGAATGTGTGCATGTGATACTTTTTTTCAGTGTTGGGAGCTTTGAAGCCAGAGGCTGATAAAGGTAGATAATGATTCTATCTCTGAGCTACATTTCTACAGGTGCTGATTTTACACTTAGCAACCTAAAATTGGAGCCAGCTGTTTCTCTGCTTGGGGAGGACTGCCCATGCACTGTAGTGCATTTTCCAGACTCCTGGTCTCTTCCTACTGGACTACAACAGTGTCCCTGACTCACTTGTAACAGCTCCATAATGTCTCCAGATGTTACTGGAATCCTTTAAAGGGCTTATTTCATTCCACTTGATAATCCTAAGTCTACTTATGGAAACCATGTGTCATATATTTTAAAAATATAAAGTTGTAAAATATTTAAAGATTCTAACACTCAAAATAAACTTGTGGCACCTAGTGAGCAGTCTATGGTAGTACTAATTAGCCAACTTTGAGTTGGGTGTAAGCAGTCTCTCTAGAAGGTATATACCACACTGCCATTCTAGGAATTATTTGGAAAAGTAGCATTCTTTTAAGAGTATATGTAAGCTGACTGGTGCTTATATTATTAATTCAATCACACTAAATGAGATTTATTACATATAACCTGTTTTCATACATTTCAGAACCCAGTCTCATTCTCTAAAGCTATGTGAGCTGGGCCTGGTAGCCTAGGCTTTTAATCCCAGTACTTGGAAGGCAGAGGCAGGCAGATCTCTGTGAATTCAAGGCCAGCCTGGTCTACAGAGTGAGTTCCAAGTGAGCCAGTGCTACATAATGAGACCTTGTCTCAAATAAAACGGGGAGAGAAGTTTGTATATTTTTAAAGGGTGTATAATGTGCAGCATATGAGTAATATCTCACAAAAGCTATGATTATAAATATATGAGTATATGAGTGAATCTAATTAAAAACATTCTTTTGACCTTACTCTTCGGTTCCTTATGAGTCCATAATAGGAAAGCTTAAGGCAGTTCTTGAAATTAGAGTATTCATTATACACTTAAAGAAGTGCTTATTTTCTTGTGACACAGGTTTCTATCCTGTCTCAATAGAATTCAAAACACCATTCTGACCAGTAAGAATGACCAGAGATACAGTTGGGCATGGCAACCTGCCTATGGTCCCATTTAGTTACGAGGTTGAAGCTAGATGATCACATGAACCCAAGAGTTTGAAGCCAGCCTGGAGGTATAGCAAGACCCTGATGTGTAGGGGAAGAAATTATTAGAGATTAAATGGGATGTAGCTGTTGCCTCCAGGTGCTTAAATGTGAAGATCATCTGTTGAATATAACTTGTACTTTGGAAGACTGAAGGCCTTTTTATAAAAAAAAAGAGAGAGAAAGGTTTCTGTTGCTGTCACAAACACTTGATAAATCAACTTAAAGATGGGAAAGGAAATCATACTTCAAAGGCTGAGAAAGGAGGGTTATGTCAAGGTCAGCCTGGGCTATATAGTGAGATTGGGGGGCAAGGGGATGGGGAGAAGAGAGACAGAGAGACACAGAGAGAAACTTTGTTTCAGCTCATAGAATCACAAGTCCAAGAAGCTTTGAGCCTGCTGTGGTACGGGACACTCGGGATGGGAGTACATACCAGAGTGGGATGCTCACATCTTGCTGGCTCTGAAGCAAAGAAAGTCAAGCGACCACAATCCCCAGTGGCCTGACTTCCTCCCACAAGGCTCCGTTTTCCTTCCTTCCTCCCTCTCTCCCTCCCTCCCTTCCTTCCTTCTTTCCTCCCTTCCTTGCTCCCTTTCTTCCCTCCCTCCTTCCTCCCTTCCTTTTTAAAATATAAAGTAAAACTACTTCTGAAATGTAGCAAAGAATCAAGAGGACACCAGAAGGGGCAAAACAGAAAAGAAAAACAAATAGTTGTGGTGCTAAAGATGTTTCCTGAATCCTTGAAAACTGAATTTCCAGGTGTGTGAGTGACGGTAATTGGAACTGACTGCATGTCTTTCCTATGATTTATGCTGAGCTGTACTGGACAAGTGTCAGTTGGCTCTCAGAGCCATTTTTCCTTTATGGTATCCCTTCTTTGTGTATCAGGAGCCCTGCTGACCAGTTAGTCCTATAGTCTGTGGGCTAGGCATGTTGTCCCACCCTCCTGAGACACATGGTTGAAGCCTCTGGGGTAATGAATGTTCCAGCAAGAGGATGTCTCCCAAATGGATAGAAGGCAAGGGAAGCAATCAGCATAGTGCGGTTTATACATGCACCCCTATCTTCACATCTTCAGAGTCTAAGCATCAATCACTCCATTGCAAAAATGCCTGCTGGACCAGCAACTGTCAGCTTGTACCCACAGTGACACAGACAAAAATGCTACAGAGGTTGGTCCACGGGCTCATGGTTAATAAACAAAAGTGTTATTCTCAGTTGATGACATCTACCCCTGTCCACCAAGGGAAAGGTGACCTAGTCCTGTGCATTTCAGTATCTGAGCCAAGCTTCCTGCTTCCTGCACTTGGGAGCTTGGCAGCCTTGGGTCTTCCCCATCTTACATAACCGCTCCCCCAGGACTGCCTTCTATCCTGCCGCTGTGGGAGGGTGAACACAGGCTCCCTGACTTGTGACTGTTCTTGCTCTCAGGTCTTCATGGTAGTCTGGGTTCCTTCTAAAGCTAGCACCTGGCCACAGCCATCAGAACCTGTGGAATTTCTCTGCTGATGGATGACCCATTCAACAGAGGAAGTCATTATTTTTTCGAGATTTATGTCTTAGTTAGGTTTTCTATTGCTGTGAAGAGACACTATGGCCGTGGCCATAGCAAAGAACACACCCAGACACCAAATTCTCAGATTTATTTACCTCGGACCTGCAAAGAGAAAGGTAGGATGGGGTAGGGTCAGTGGGGCTGCCTCTGGATCCATCAAAGGCAGTAGTAGCAAGTATGTCTGTAGAAGTGTTTTTTAAAGAGAAAAGGCAGAAGTCTGTGCTAGGATGACTTGGTGAGTCCTGATTGGACAGGTTAGATAAGTAGTCAAATAATGGAAGTAATACATATTTGCAGTATATAAAGATTGTTCTACAGCACATCCCCCTCAGTGAGGGACAGAGCCACTTCTCCCACACCAATGGTGTAGGCAGGGCCAGCTTTCCCAAGGGGAGGGCATCTCTCCTATTAGGAGCAGGACCAGCTTTTAGGGCTGGGGAAGGGCTGGATCAGATCAGCATAGCCCTTGTAATTCAATGCATGGTTCAAGGCAAGGTTTAGATGGGCCTCCTGTGGTAATACGGGCAATCAACATCAACACAGACTCCCAACTGTGGCAGGACCACAGACCTAGACATAGCTAGCAGTAGCAACTCAGCCAGATGTCACCATGGTCCTGGCACAGGGCACTCAGATCTGTATTGCCCCAGTAGCAGCATGGCCCTCAGGTACCAACATGGCTCCAGGTGTTGGCTCAGACCCTAAGCATCTGTACAGTCTTAGGAGGTTACAGGAGCAACAATTATCAACACAGTAGTGGCTGCAATAGGGCCACATAGACATGGTACTTGGCAACAGGTCAAGCCCAGATGTCTCCATGGCCCTGAGTGGCAGCTCAGACCCTGGGATACCCGGGATACCCAGGGTATGTCCATAGGTGGTGACCTAGACTCCAGGCATCCTCATGGCCTTTGGTGGTAACTAAAGCCATGGACCTCAACACAAGACTGTGGTTGTGGCAGGGCCTTGTACCCAGACATTGACCTTGATCCAGATGTCACCAAATCACCAAGTGGTAAGCAGGCATCTCACAATAGCCCATTCCTTTGCCTCTTCTGATCTGCCTCTCTCTATGGGACTGCCTCTCTGTCCCATTCCCTAGCATATATTTGCTCACCATAATGGTGCCTGGAGCTAGTTGGGCTATGGTTTCTTCTCTCTGCCTAGGAGAAACAGCCCAGGCAGGTGTGTGTGTGTGTGTGTGTGCGCGCGCGCACACACACACACACACACACACACACAGGCATCTCAGCTCACCTGCTCCTAATGGCACCCTTCAGCAATCTAACACCCATTTTGGCTCTGGAATCTTAAAGTTCCTCCCCAGGCAGGTAAGCCCATTGTTCTTTTGCAACCTACAGTATTCTTCCAGAAAGACCTGTCTTTCCCACACATCATCAGCTTCAAAGTAAGGACCTGAGTGATCTTTGCTGAAATCTGGGATTTTTGTTTGTGTCTTTTGTTTCATTGATTATTTCTATTGTACATTTAAAATGCTAATGTTAGCTTCCCCTGCCTTGAGTCAATATCATTTGTTGTAACTTCTATCTAGTCATTTTCTCAATTTTGTAATTGCTTCTAATGTATTTGGGGAGTTTTCACTGTCATTTAAGAAGTCATATATGTAAAACAAGCACCCCAGTGTCTGAAGGCTAGCCCTTGCCAATATGGCATGGATGAGGAACTTTAGAATTGAAATGTAATTATCTTGAATTTATTACAAACAAAGTAATTTAGTGGGCCATTGAGAGCCCAGCTTTGAAGGCAGCCTGTCCAGTGTGAAGAGCTTGTTTGCTTTGACTTTGAACAAAGAACCAATCTTTATAATTCTTCCCTTTTCCCATCTTAAACTGGGGCAGGGAGACTAGAGTCTATCTTCTACAGCTGTTACTAAGGATCCATTGGATTAACCTGTTTAAAAGGCTTTTAATCATACACAGGGACATTTAGAAGTACCATATTATCAGCTCCACAACTGAAATAAAGGCATTTTAGAAAAGAATGTGAAGGGGTTCAGTCCCCAGCACCTTGTAAATTTGAAATACTTCAGACCCTCACCCCACATGAGAGAGAGAGACAGAGACAAAAATAGACACAGAGAGAAAATAATGTGAAGGTTTTAAACATGCTTTTCTTTCTGTCTCTTTAAGGTCCAGACTACATAAAAGACCACTTGCCGAAAGTTCACCAGCATACCGCCTATGTAGGAGAAAAGCGTCCAGCATTAGAGAAAACTGGAGACCTCAGATATTTATGGAGATCTGCCCCAAACCGAAGCCTGCCAGCAAAATATAAACACCAGTATGTAGGTGGAATTGGATGGGGGATACCAGAGTACATCTGCATCAACAGATCAAGATTGGAGAGTGGCTTTCAAAACCAGGTACTGTCCTTAATTGCCCAAACTTCATAGGTTCCTGTGTTCTGATTTGAATTCGCTGTAAGTTTACATTGTAGGCAATGTCAGGTCCTTAGTCAGGCTGAGATGTAATGGCATTTGAGTTTTGTAGGAAGATGTTGGTAATAAACATACTTATTAGCAATACACCCTTTTAGATGAGAGGGGAGGTCCAAAGAAAGTGCAGCCAACTGAGTGAAGCTCTGTTCTGGGATAGGGAATGTACCCAGAGTCATATGTATGCGGGGGCATTTGCACATAGTCCCCCTGCTAGCACTGCTCTGTGAGTGGGCGTGTCAGGGAAGAAGGTGGTGCTGAATTTCAGTCTGCAAAGCAAAAAAACACCCAGTGTCAGATCTTGAATGTCACAGTGTTGAGCATGTTGTGTTGGTGACCAGGGTTCTATAGTCTAGAACCCTTGTCCTGTTTCCTTTGGATGGTGTGGACTGAAGCAAGCGCCCACATAGTCATTTCAAAAACAGGAAGAAGAGGAAATGATTTAGATGCAGTGTCTGAGAATGCCAATGTATTTACAGACAGGCTTTAGCACCCTCTATGAACTGATGATGTGTAACACAATGGCTGAATTTCCACATTTCCTCGCGTTAGTTTTTGCAGCGTGTGTGTGTCTGTGTGTGTGTTGAATGTATAGGTGTGTGGCGTGTGTGTGGTATATGTTTATGGGTGTGTGGTGTGTGTGGTGTGTGTGTGGTATATGTTTATGGGTGTGTGGTGTGTGTGTGTGTGTTGTATGTATAGGTGTGTGGCGTGTGTGTGGTATATGTGTATGGGTGTGTGTGTGTGTGTGTGTGTATGTGTGTGTGTGTGCATTTCACAGAGACTGGTCTTGCTTAGTTAGCAGAAGCTTTAAGCCATGGTGCTTTCTGTTCACCTCCTTGGTCCTGCCATCCTAACAATAATTTGTAGTGAGATAGTCCTTCTGTGGCACTGACCACGCCCATTGGGGGTGGAGCCATGGGCGGAAGTGACCTGTGGAAGGAAGTCGGAGGGAGAGCCAGGAAAAGCTCTCTTGCTTGCGTGACTCATACAGTAGAGGATCGGGTTGAAGAGGATCGGGTTGAATTTCCTGGTGTTCATCTGTCTAGGTTGTAAGTTATTTCTCCCTAAATAAACATCTATTCGGCCTATTTGTTTATCCTGATCCTTATTTAACCACGATAATAATTCTTTTCATAGAGCCACCTGTTTACCATAACAATCTTAGACAGCTTCCTTTTGCCTTTTCATATTTTGTCTTTATATTTTATATTTTTAAATGCTAAGAAATGTGTAGTTAATACAATTCTTAAGCAAGTGAAGTGAGTGCCTTAGTTGTCAACCAACCGGGCAGTGTGGTGGGAAACAAGGGAAAGCTGCTACTAGGGCTTGTGAGAAACTGTGAAACAAACAAATATCAAATCTACCCAACCTCAATAAAACATTCTTATAACTACACATGGTGAACACGAACAAAATACATCGTAACTGATGGAATGAAAGCAGTCCAAAAGAAACTGTCTTGCTGTTACTGTTCATCTGTCGCCAGTGAGCCACATCTATATCCCAGGACAGACTGTTTCCTGAGGCCACTTTGTTTGGGTGAACAGTTCCAGGATAAGGGGGCTATAAATTGCTGAAGAATGTTTTGCTCTGCAAGTACCATCCATAACTGGATCAACATCCCCTGCACTTAAAGGCCCTGCAACTCCTGTAAGAGCCAAGACCAGTGCCTTCCCCTTCACACATTTCTGCCCCAAAGGCTGATACCTCTCACTGCTGTGCTATAAACAGTATAGACTGTTGAAGTCAGGCTTTGCTCTCTCTATCTCTCCCCCCCCCCCCCGTCTTCTTTACTTGTGCTTCGCAATCTAAGAGAAAAAGTTTAAGACCCAACTTTATATAGAGAATGGATAAAAACTATAAAACAAATATTTAATAAGAATTGTCTCCCACACATTCTCTAGAACTTCTAGGTAGAAAGTAATGCTAACTTTAAAACAGCGTATTTTTACATGATTTCTACCAATTTTTTTCTTTCCTTTTAATTAAAATGTAACTATATGATGTTTCTGCCTCCCCTTTCCTTCATCTTACTCCTCTCATGAGTCCACCCACAGCTCATTTGCAGATTCCTGGCCTCCTCCTCTCTAACCCCAGACACTTCCCTAAAGGAATCCCAGGACTCAGAGCTTTAGAGTAAGAAGAGCTCCTGAGAATGATGGTCTGTGGTTACTGAAAAGGGTCACACCTATTAGCAAAGAACCACCTACACTGGCCTACCCATCAAGCCCTTTGCTGGGGCTGCTCATCTTGCCCTCCAAATCGCGGCTCTGATTTCCCATGCATCCATGGTAAAACTTCAAGTCTACACTCAGATGTCAATCCCTTGTGCATCCATTTACTTTCATTCACCCAGATCCAGCACATTAGTTTGCATTTGGAGATAAATACACCAAAGTACACAAGGAATTAGGTCCAATGGTCTGTGATCCCAGTGTTGGGGAGGCTGAGACGGGAATCACAAGTTCAAGACCAACCCAGGCCACATGGAGAGAGGCTTTGTCTTAAAAAAAAAAAAAAAAAAAAAAAAAAAAAAGAATGAGAGGGCAGAGAAAAAAAGGGGGTTGGGAGAGAGAGGGGCAAGGACAGGAGGAGGGAAAGAGGGGAGGAGAGAAAGAGGGATGAGGAGAAAGAAGGATGCAGTAGAGGAGGGAAAGAGATCAGAGGCACAGGAAATGTGAAGAGAGGAGAGTGGTGGTGCCAACTAAGGTCATTCTAGAGAGGACAGAAGACATTACTTACATGCTCTCTCAGTCTACTGCTTGTTATTTCTCCAATGCCTTTTCTCCTGAGTCTTCTTCCACATCTGTAGCCATCCATTCCTTTCCCATCCTATTCCACATCAAAATGGTCACTTTTCATTTCTGACTGCAGACACTCCTCATCATGTAGTTTGTGATAGCTCAGCACTGAGAGTATAGTACGTGATAGCTCAGCACTGAGAGTATAGTACGTGATAGCTCAGCACTGAGAGTATAGTACGTGATAGCTCAGCACTGAGAGTATAGTACGTGATAGCTCAGCACTGAGAGTATAGTACGTGATAGCTCAGCACTGAGAGTATAGTACGTGATAGCTCAGCACTGAGAGTATAGTACGTGATAGCTCAGCACTGAGAGTATAGTACGCGATAGCCGAGCACTGAGAGTATAGTACGTGATAGCTCAGCACTGAGAGTATAGTACGTGATAGCTCAGCACTGAGAGTATAGTACGTGATAGCTCAGCACTGAGAGTATAGTACGGGATAGCTCAGCACTGAGAGTATAGTACGTGATAGCTCAGCACTGAGAGTATAGTACGTGATAGCTCAGCACTGAGAGTATAGTACGTGATAGCTCAGCACTGAGAGTATAGTACGTGATAGCTCAGCACTGAGAGTATAGTACGGGATAGCTCAGCATTGAGAGTATAGTACGTGATAGCCGAGCACTGAGAGTATAGTACGTGATAGCTCAGCACTGAGAGTATAGTACGTGATAGCTCAGCACTGAGAGTATAGTACGTGATAGCTCAGCACTGAGAGTATAGTATGGGATAGCTCAGCACTGAGAGTATAATATGGGATAGCTCAGTACTGAGAGTATAGTATGTGATAGCTCAGGACTGCCAGTGCAGTATGTGACAGTTTAGGACTGCTTTTGAACACAGACATTTGCTGGTTTCAGCTCCAGCATCTGTGCTTCCTAATTTAAGCTTCAGGTCTGTCTGAGCCCAGAAGCCAGGATGCTCAGGCACCTCCAAGGAGCTCTTGAAAAAGTACTGGGGCAGTTGCCTTCTACCTGGAACCTCTTATTTAGAGCAAAAGGAGGGCCCCACAGATCACATGATAAATCATCTGACTGGAGCAGATAACATCCTCCATGCCGAATGACACCCTGAACACTTAACCACAGCATAAAGGTCAGTGAAATGAACTCACAACAACACCCCTCCCACTGCCCGTGTGTGTGTGTGTGTGTGTGGCTATTTCTACCTGGCCTTATGTGTATTACAATACCATGGAGCATGTATATACCATCCAGGAAAGCCCATTTCTTTTGTTGTTATCTCAGATTTAAGAGCAGTGCATTCTTCTTGTTTAAATGGATTTGGCCTCTGCCAAACTATATATTTCACTTCTATAAGAATATATAGTGCCAAATGAAACCATGCCTGTGGCATTCTAACTGCCTCTGCAGTAGTCTGCCTCCTCACCTCTGGCCTTGCTTTAACCCAGACCTCAGCAATGCCAGCTGGCTTCCTGATGCCCATTTTCTGCTTCTGCACTCTGACCTCATAGCAAATTGATTTAAGGCAGTCGCTTTCCTCACAGAAATGATGTCCTATTGGGCTGGGTTAGCCATTCTTCACTGGTATGATCCGCAAGACAACATTGAATCAATTTATCACAATATGTATTAAAACCATCGTGTTTTACAATATAGAGATTCACCTGTATACTCATATGTGAGTTGGTTAATAAAGTTTTTATCCAGGTTTTGATAACTGCCACTTTCGACCATCATGAATTCTATCAGCATGCTCTAGGTGGGTCTTCTTTGGACACTTTAATGTCATTTGAATGGATTTCTGATAAGGTACTGAACTCCTTCATGGCTAGTAGGTTCAGTTTATCCTAAATTGCTTGGTTTGGCATTTTCCTCGCTAGTGAATAATGTAGGGAAGATAAACAAGAAAGGAGCAACTGGGATAGTTTAATGAGAACACACTGTGATCCTGTCTATTAATATTTGACAGAGGAGGAGACTGTGGTGTGTCCCAGGTGAACTCTATACCTGAGGTCACAGGTACTCACAGAGCCCGAATTTCAACCCAGGCATATGAAGCACACAGTGAGAGAATAAGATGCGGGAGATGAAAGGCGGGCCTCCAACGGCCTGGTCCATCCTGTGGCCAGCGTTCTGCTGGGTCAGTTCTGGTTGC